GAAGCACTCCCAGTCTCAAAAAAGTTGGGCGGAAGATCGATGTTTGCATTTGTTGTTGTGCCTTGTTTGTTTTGTTGCCTCTTACAAACGTCATGGTGTGCCTTAAGTCTTTGTACTATGCCTTGAATCTCCTTCTTACACTGTTTGCAAGTTGCTCGGCTCGGCATCCTGACTTATTAGAAGAGGTGGTTTTGATGTAAAACTGCCATATACTGTCTTCTTTTCTTCCAGCCATTGCGTTCTTTTCAACCTGACTTGTTATTATTACACAAACACAAAAAATCTACACACTTTTCAACATTAGCCTCTCTTGAAATTTTGTGACGAAATGAATAAGACCGAAGAAAGGCGACGGCATTTATAGATTACGCCCGGCAACGTGTGAAAACGGGTCGCGGGCCCTTGCGACAAGAATTTTCCGTCGAAAATGCGCTCGGACAAGTATTGAATCGGTTCAACTTAGCTTGAATCTTCTCGGCAACAATTGCAATGACTTTAAAACAGCTAATTAAGCGGATTTATCAATTGATTTAATAAAAATCAAAAAAATCATGATTTTTTTGATTAATTTAAATAATTCAGTGATTTTTTATTTTTTTAATAAAAACCCATTTTTGCCCAACACTGTGTATGACAACTGACATTGCTTTGGTTACAGGGTACGAAACGTCCGGCGACGAAACCGACGGTTACATCAGCTCGGCGCCCGAGCAGGATTCACGGTGAGTCAAAAGGTGTGTCGTTCGTCTCTGTTTTAACCACCGCACCCCTGTGTACATTTGTATCTGTTTGCCCACTAATCGCTAATCCTGCTTGCAAAGGAACGGCCCTGGATCTATGCTTGTTTGGGCGAAAGCTAAGCTTTGCTGGTTTGTTCACTTTAACTAATTTCTATTCTTTTGTTGCATGCTCAGAGTGAGGGTTACCTTAAAAAGATGATTAGTCACATAGGTAAGTCTGCGGTACCCGGGTTCAGTTTTATAACCGAGTTTTATTTCCCTTTAAAGTAGTTTCACGCGCGCTAATTAAAGCCTATGTTCACAGATACAATACGCACAACTACGACCGCACCCGTTCGCCTTACCAACCATCCCCCACTAACCAGTACCACCAAGAGGCTTACAACCACTTGGGTAGTTCCGAAAAGATCAGCTCGTTGGAGCGCCCTCTAAAGCCCAACAATCTGTTCAGCGCCGTTAACGACTTGAACCAAGCGGTGTACGGAGGCACCAACAATGGAGCGCACAGCTCCAACTTGTACGGCCCCCCATCAGCCTCCTACAACGCACCTGCCTATGACAGTTACAATCAATCGAGGACCAGTCCAAAGTCGCCCATCTATAAGTCTCCCCAGAGCTTTCAGTCGCCGAATGTCAGCTCTACCAGTCATTACGCCTCGCTAAGCGCCCCGAAGAGTTACGGAGCGACTAACACGTCGCCCAAACCGTTCGGGGCGGAGCCGTCAAAGCCGAGTGCCTTCGACAGCATCGGGGGTTTTAAGCCTCTGAGCTTCGACGCAAAATCCGGCTCCGATGGATACACCAGTTCAGAGTACGCCACAAACACTTACAAGACCCCCGATGGATACCACACGGATACTTACAAGTACGAGTACTACAAGTCAGAGCCGAAGACAACGTACGCATCCAACACCGAAAAGTACTACACAAACACGGGAAAAGACGGCAAAGGTTTTACGCCGTTGAGCCCGAAAAGTGCCTTTGAAACGTTCAAAAACGGCGATGATCAGTACCAGAGCTCTTACTCGTCCAATGTGGAGTATATCAATGAGCCGCCCGTGCTGAAGGACGACACCTTGGAGCAAAAAACGATCAAGAAGTCGATCAACGAGCAAATTTTCGAGAAAAAAACCACGACGACGAGCAGAACCACTAAGCAGGAATCACAAATGAAAACGTTCAAGTTTCAGTAGAAGATAGTTTTGTGTGTATAACCGTAAAATTAGGGTTTTAAAGTGGCCTTTGCAGTGGTGCTAATTATTCATTAAAAAGCGAACGTTATCTATTGGTAAAGTTCTGACCCCGTAACATTTATCCAATTTTTATTAACCAAAAATGTATATTTTAATTGTAGAAATTTTATTATGTGCCAATAACAATGTCGCGTTGTTTTATTAAGCATCTACTTTAATTTAGGATTCCCCGAATTGTATCAAACAATCTACTTATCTATTAGTTGAAACGAAAAGTGCCTAATCGAGCTTGTTCTGTGGTAACAAAAAAACCTCTTCTGGTGCCTAAATCTCATTTACACTTTGAACGTTCTACTTTTTAATCTTTATACGAGGAATGTTCTTCCATGACCTAGAATCGATGCTATATTGTGTTACATTAAATAATATAAATTTTTAACACAAAAACGATTGCGTTACTTTATTATTTAGTTGATTAATGAAAAAAAGAAATCACCCCCGACAGTGGCCTCTTATGCTTTCAATGCAGATTAATAATGTATGTTTTTGTTGATTGAACAATTTTTAGACGTGATTTAATGTCTACGGAATTCAAGTTCCGCTTTCTACATGATTTTTTCACTATTTTCACTAAACTTATATCGATCGCTCTTTTAACAGTCGGGACATTTTCTTACTAAACGACGCTCAAAAACAATAAACCACTCGCATACATTTCCAGCTTTTATTCTCCGTCTCGACGCTATCTCCCTCAGATAATATTAAATGGATTCAAAAACTTCCTACCTGATCAATCAGGCAGCTCCAACTTTCCCAGATTCCCTATCACGCGCGCGTTCGGCAAGTTCTCCGTTATAATCCCAGTGGCAACAGTGACATTGTTCTCCCGAATTGTGAATTGTTGGCCTTTCGACATTACCATTTTCCATAAAAGTGTGAGCTTGATGTTGCCGTGTTCGCCGGGTATAATCATGGCGTCGTTATCTGGAGCAATTTCTTTCATAAGAGATATTTCCGCAACCGTTAATCACATACCAATGTCTACCCTGCACGGGACATTCCAGGTTTTACTATACAGCTGCTGACAGTACTTGCTGGTAACGGGTTTGGATCGGCCGCCCTCGGCTTTAGAAAGGAAATAAATGCTCGCCTTAAACCGATTGCTCAAAGTGACGCTTTTTGAGGCACAAAGCAGCATGCCCCGTTTAATGTCTTTTAGCTTTATGTTGCGAATCAGCGCCCCGATGTTTTCTCCAGCTTTCGCCTGAAATGCGTTCATGATAAATATCCATCAAACTCACTCAGCCAGAATGGCTCACTTCAGGCAGACTCTTCCTGAACACCTGTATATCATTGACACTGGTCTTCAAGCAAGTATCGAATCCCAACATCTCAGCATCGGCGTTTTTCTTCAACACACCCCTGCTTAGAGTGCCGATTACAACCGTCCCCCGTCCTGGTACCAGAAAAGCATTGTCTATTGGCAACAAGAATGGAGAAGTGAAGTCGCGCTCTGGATAGGGCACGTACGAGTCAACCGCATCCAACAGCTGTTGAATAGACTGGGTTCCTGAGCAATAAGAAAAATTGTTCAACATTCACAGGAAACTGCTGGAAATGTGCATTTCAAACCTATTTCACTGTCATTGCCCTGCAGAGCTTGTAGTGCCGATCCAAAAATCACCGGGCATCCAGAGCCATCGAACCCAAAGTCCTCTAGCAGCTCTCTGACCTCTAGCTCGACTAGTTCTAAAACCTACGTTTCAACTGAGGCTCAAATAGGCTAAAATTGGTGGCAACAAGTCTTACTTCTTGGTCCACTAAGTCGGCCTTGTTCACGTAGACAACGATCTTGGTTACGCCCACTTGCTTGGCAAGCAGCAAGTGTTCCCTGGTTTGGGGCATTTGGCCATCGGTGGCCGCCACCACTAAAATAGCCCCGTCCATTTGCGACGCTCCAGAAATCATGTTTTTTATGTAGTCGGCGTGCCCTGGACAGTCAGTGTGTGCGTAATGGCGAGTTTTCGTACTGTACCCCACATGGCACGCATTTATTGTGATACCTGCAACACAAACACCGCTCAATCTAAACGATTCCTGTGATACTTTGAATTAAAAAAATCACATCCAACGGTTAGTTGACCAAAGCATTTTTGCTGGACGTTCGTCACTGATTTACCTCTGGCTTTTTCCTCAGGAGCCCTATCAATTTCGTCATAAGAGACAAATTTGGCCAGCCCTTGATGTTGCAAATATTTCGTAATGGCAGCGGTGAGAGTGGTTTTGCCATGGTCCACATGGCCAATGGTACCGATATTAATGTGTTTTTTGCCGTCGTCGCTTACGCCAACGTCCCGTTTTGCCGCTGTAGAATAGGGCAAGTTTGAGTTTCCCACCGCAACTGGTACCTTGAGGTTAGGTCGCACACTTTGACAAAGCTGGCAAAAACCGAACAGTTTTCCAGGCTCAAGATACCGGTTTTGTGGTCGCAAAATTGCCAATTTCACTCTATGCATCAAACCAAGTGCCGGCATCTTTTCCTTGGTTTACCAGCAGAATTTGTTTAGGATCTTTAATCTATAAATATTTACATTTGACACTGACAACTGACAATGTGTAGGAAGATTGCCAACTATTTGGGGCGCGGTCAGCGCCAGAGACAATTTAAATAAAGTAATTTTACATTAATTTTACATTACCTCGAATCGAATACATTTCGGAAAAAAGATAGCATCAAACGAAAAAATCATCAAGAACAATTTTTCAAATAATGCAGCATGCAAAAAAAATCAAAATTTGCCCTGAAGTGTGACAATTGACTTAAACTTGCAGCAACACTGCCGCACTTCGACCAGCTGAAAGGTGGCAAAAGGTTAGTGCTGACTTTGATTAACTTTTACCAGCAAATTTAGCCCCCAACTCCCAACTTCGGTGCCCATTTAGTTGGTAATCGATTTGTCCCAGCCTAAGGCAGGTACCGCATTGTTCACAGCCTGCTCCAAGCGCTTTATTTCCTTCATACCCCAAACTACAGCCACATTACATAACTTGTTATCCACGGTTTCAAAAGCGTTGCTCCTCACCTCCAGTTTCATCTCCCCAATGAAGAGTCTGAAGTGAATCTGGATTTACAGGGTTTGCGAAGATGTTGGGTCGATTTGGAAGTGCGATCACTGCGGTGGCTCAAAATGCCCCCATGCAACAGCAACAGAGGGGCATGGCCACCTTAAAGGCCATTTCCATTCGTCTGAAGTCGGTGAAGAACATTCAGAAGATCACCCAGTCTATGAAGATGGTGTCGGCCGCCAAGTATGCCAGAGCTGAGCGCGACTTAAAACAGGTCAGCCTTTTTACTGAGCATCTAGTTGTCCACATCATTTAGACTGGAGATAAGTTTTCAAGCTGTTTCAATTGCAATTTTCAATTTTTCAGGTCAGATCCATCGGCAACGGTGCTAAGCAGTTCTATGAACAAGCTGAAATCGCCCCACCGCCAGATGCGCCCCAAAAGCTGTTCATTGCTATCACTTCCGACAGAGGTTAACAACGCGATTAGTTAGCGAAGCCTTCTATTTAGCTCTATATTTTGCTTTAGGTCTATGTGGTGCTGTGCACACTTCAGTGGCTCGGCACATCCGTACCGAGCTGGGCAAGGATGATAAGAACATCCGAATTGTCTGCGTTGGAGACAAGTCGCGTGCTATTCTGTCCCGCATCTACGGCAACAACATTATTTTGTCGGCCAATGAAATTGGGCGCTTGCCCCCAACTTTCATCGATGCCGCCAAACTGGCCGACGCCGTTCTGAAGAGCGACTACAAGTTTGCCTCCGGCGAAATCGTCTATAATCGCTTCAAGTCGGTGGTGTCTTACGAAACTCAGACCCTGCCCGTTTACAGCTTGGAGTCCGTTGTGGTAAGCTTTCCTTTGATTCGTCGAAGCTTTTGAGCAAACCCTCCCCGTTTAGACCGCGCCGAAACTGTCCATTTACGACTCTCTCGATGACGAAGTGATTAAATCTTACCTGGAGTTCTCCTTGGCTTCTTTGCTGTTCTACTCCATGAAAGAGGGCGCATGTTCTGAGCAATCCTCCAGGATGACCTCCATGGACAACGCCAGCAAGAACGCTGGAGAGATGATCGACAAACTGACCCTCACGTTCAACAGAACCAGACAGGCCGTCATCACCAGGGAGTTGATTGAAATTATCTCTGGAGCCTCCGCTCTGTAAAAGAACAAGAAAACGTCTGTACAATATGCAGCATAACGGCCATAAGCTTCTAAATAAACAGTCACGAGTCCAAGTCCTGTCTGATCTAAATGCTGGTTTTGTAGCAGCGCTCCGTATGTAAGGGTAAATTGGATCGAGCAATAGCAAGCCCAAAGTCTCATTTAACATCTCTTTTATTCCTGTTTACTGTTATATACTTATGCTATAAAATTATTTGGTATGTAATAAATGTACTCTCAGAAAATGAGTTTGATTTCAGTAACACTAGCAAAACAATTAGCACAAAAAATCACTGAAACGATATACCTTTCTCCTTCGTAGATTAAAACTCGACAATAAAACGGAAAAATGTGTTGCCTTTTATATTTGATCTGCGTTTGACATCACTAATCAAATGTGAAAATCTCTCGAGATATTCGAATTAACTCGATTCCCCCACTCCTAAAATCAACCGAACTAACCACAGATTATCAAACTATTATTATAGGAACCAGTTTGATAATCTGTGATAGGAACTAACCTGCAATTTAAGTGAGGTTAATTAAGGTGCCTCTCAAGAATCAATATTTATTGCGGCTGAAATGCGTCCAACTCCAACTCTTTTTAAACAGAATATAGGATGGCACTTTCGAAAACTCTGGCACATCAAGGGGAACCGAAAAGTCCTGGACATTGGCTCAGAGAAGATCCTCAAAAAGCAGGGCATTGCAACCGAAGACCCCAATGAATTTATAAAAGACTTTGTTGTAACCAAACCGGAACGGTAATTAGAACTTAAACAGCAACTATTTTTCTACTTAATGAAGTGTGATTTGCAGGGTTGAAATTGTGGGCATTCGGGGGCCAAGGAAGACTACCATTGACAATTGGCACGAAAGGCCGCTGTTGACTTACGGCCACGCAAATGTTCTATTGCAAGGTTTAACACAGGCCAAGGTTCTCACTAACACTGTGGAAGTGGTGCAGGGCCTGCCCGAAAACTACAGTATTGAGGACATTAGCAGACAAGTGAACAAACGAGTGAAAGATGTTATTTTAGCTAGCTGCGTGCTAGATGCAGAGCAAAAGCTCTTGCCTCACATTAAAGATCGTAATCGGCCCGCTTATGTATTTCCAAGAGCCTATGGAATTACGCAACAACGCGTCTTGTAAGAGGCCTACAGTCTCTTGTGGGCGATCCTTTCATTGGGCTTTTTTGCAGTAAACTCCTGATATCCAGGCTTCTGCACCTAATAGAAACTACGTCAGCACCTGAGTTGGTTAGGCAAAGACACCTTGCTGATAACCTACTGTTTTCCTACCCGTTTGAAAGGAATGGTGACCTGATTCAGTTCCAACAGTTAGGGGACCTGGTGATGCTGGCAGAGAAGCCCCTGGCGCCGATAACAAGGCAGAGCCTCAACGAATTTCAGTTGCCCGATTTATTCCCAGTCAGTCCCACCGTCACGTTGCAGCCAACAAACAAATACGTGCTGAGGAACGTGTACCGTAAGTAACTCTGGCCACCAAAGCTTAAATGGTAACCAAAGGGTTTTTCAGCTGTGAATAAAACGTCTCGCAAATACCACCCCCATACGTTATTCATCAACTACAACAAGGAAACTGTGAAAAATCTCTTTGAAGAGGAAGTAACACAGGAGCAGATCTGCGGCAGAACACTGCTTAAGGCCTTCACAGCCGCTGCTGCTTACGCCAAGGAACAATTTGGGGTAGTTTGATTATATGGAAAGTTTTAGTGGGAAAACCCACGAATTTTGCTCTAGGACGAAGTCAAAGACCTGCCCACACCAGTCACTCTACAAGCAATACAAACGGACGGCAGAGAGTTTTACTTTGGGGTCTTGCAGCTGAACACTCTGGACTTAAGCAGTACGGAAACCCGCAATATTTGGTACCAAAGCCCCGTGCTACGCCTGTTTGAGAAGTGCGCGTATGAATTAGGCCGGCCAGTTTTGCATGACTACAACAGGGCGGTAGTCAATCACATTCTGGCGTTTTACAACCGTAACTAGCAATACAGGGGCTTTTTAGGATAAATTTCTTTTGCACCGGTAAGGAATACATTGTTTAATATTTTCCTCAAACGCTAGTTCTCTTCCGGCGATGTCAAACGGATGCCCTTTTCGTCGTTAGTGTCACGTTGAGCAGATTGTGCGTGGGATGGTAGCACGTATCGAGTAAGAGCCTGAAAAATTCGTCCTTAGGCCAGATTGGTTGAGATATTCTCTATGTACCTCTCGTTGTCTGCATGGGTCAATCCAAGGCAATTGCACGAGCAGACCGACGTCTGATCGAAGTCGTCGTCGATAAAGTTGTGTCCAGCCAGTAGCTTGCCGTTCACGTTCATCATTTCCCCGTCGAGAGCAAAAACGTGATGGGATGAGGATTGAAGATCCTGGTCATCTTTTCTGCTCTCCTCTGGCCCGCTGCAGTAAAATCAGTGAAAACCCGAGCCTTCAAGTCCTCTTCGCAACTTACATAGTCATGAACTTGAGCACTAACAAGTTGATGCTGGCCGCCACTACAGCCAAGCCAAACAGGATGAAGACCAAGCTGAGAGTCACATAACCAGGCTTGTTTATCAGGGCGTTATCGTTCTGAAACACTGCTGCGTGATTTTATCCAATATGCCCTCTCTTTCCACGTCTTTCACCTGCAAGGCCACGTAGTCTCCAAACCCGATGGTAGTCAAAGTGACGAAGCAGTAGTAGAAACTGTCGAAGTACGTCCATCCTTCATAGCGAGAAAAAACCGCGGCGCCAGTAGTGATTATTATTGTAGAAAGCATTCCCGTGGCGAACATAAGATTCATTTCAGTGGCCTCGATTTTATCGCACTTCATATACTTCTTGATATGCCTGATGATGATCGAGGCCACCTTGTTGAGCCGCTCGCCGATGCTCTGGAACATGATCAGTCCGAGCGGGATGCCAATCTAGAACGACAACAGTCCATAGAGGCCCCGTGAAGGTGCCATCGGCTTAAACATGTGAACGATACCATCGCATAAGCCATACAAAAGGCCTTTCCACCGGCCGTAACTGGGGTCGAATGTCCGTAGCCGATCATGGCCAGCACTACGGTGGCAAAGTAGAACGAGCCTGCGAATTTCCATTGGGGTCCCGCTTTGTGCGGCTTGTACTCGATGATCATCAGCTCGATCATCTTGTAGTCTTCTTCAGTTATGTTGTATTTCGTCTTCAATGAGCTTGAAGAGACTTGAACGAGAAATTGCCCGCTTTTTGCCTGCCAGTGAAGCGTGTACCTTTCAACAGTTGGTCGCGTTTCTCCTCCTCCTTGGATTCCAGGGCGTCGAAGACCGCCGCTCCGATAAGTAGATAAGTGAATGTGGTTACTACGAGCGAAAGAGTTCGCACATTTTGTCTCTTCATGTTGCTCTGCGGCCATGCAGGCGAAGGGACTTTGAGATCAAATTGCGGCTGCAGGGAGGCTGGAGAGAATCGATATCACTTGGCACAAGCGCGGTGTCTACCAGCAATTGTTGGTCATATCCCGCACATATCGGCGTTAGCTGTGAATTAATTAGATTTTCCCAAATAATCCACAGCGGTTTTTTGCGGAACGCAAAGGCTGTTTGTAACAAACCCATCGAAATGGTTTGTTGGGTTCAAACAACCATTACTAACTAATAAGAAGTAACACAGCATTAATAAAGAAATGTTCTTGTTGCAATAAAAACCCGTTGAAATTAACCTTGAACAAATACAAGTAAAATAGTTCTTAAACATAGATGACTAGCAGTGAAGAATTGCGCAATCAGTGCCCTACTGGTACTGTTTCACTTTTCGCTGCCAAAGCGTAGAATCTTCTTGTGGTCTTTGATCTCGTCCAGCCGATCCAAATGGTCCCACCAGAACTTGAGCCGATGCTTCAAAATCAGTGAAAACCACGGCGTCCACTGGCCAGTTAGAGTCGGAATAAAATCGTCAAACTCTGTCCGAGGAACGAAGCTGATTTCCGATACTTCGCTTGGGTTGGGGTTCAACTTGACGTCCCTTTGAATGAATAGAACATAGTCGATCTCATGCTCGCCATATTTGCCGTTCCCTGCAAACGTCTGCTATTTCTTCGCTGTGCTAAATCGGCTGAACGTACCTTGGTCTTTATAGTGCACCCTGGTAATGTAATTAATACTGTCAATGGGAATGCTGTCTAGAGAAATGCCCAACTCGTAGTTCAGGCGCCTTTGGGCGGCTTTCCTGACCCCCAAAGCGTTTGCTTCTTCTTCCTCACCAGGAAAATTGGTTAGCGGATGGCTGCAGCACGAGTTTGTATAGTGGTCAGGATAAGTAATCTAAAACACCCTCCCTTTATTGTAGAGAATCGCAAATACTCCAAGCTCAGACCTTTTCCGATGATCGCTTCTGCAGCAACAAGTCGCCTTTTTGATTGAACAAAAACACACTAAATGCCCGATGCAGAGGGATGTTTCCATCCTCTTGCACCAAGTGGCAGTCTCTTTTACTGGCCTGACCTGTTACAATATCGTTATCGTCCACGAGGAAACACTGCTCTTTTCCCATGGCTTCATCTTGAGGGTCCAGTTGCTTGTTGATTGTCGCTGACACGCTAGCCACAGCCCGTGCAACGTAAAGCCTTGAGGCTTTGCCCACAAGCTTTATCATTGAGGTGAACATAACTGGAAAGGGCACTAGCGTATATGTCTACAGTCGATTCAAAAATCGCGCTAGCTTTAGCAATTGCTAAGTGATTGCACTTCCAAATATCGCAATTAAACACCTCTTAAGATAGTGATAATTCAAAACAATTCAACCTCTAAATTGCTAACCACTTGTGCAAAAGCTCAAGTACTTGGACGCGATCTGGAGTCATGTTTGCTGGAACTACGTAGAATTGTGGCTGATATACATCATTTGCAAACATCTTAACACAATGGCCCACTGATAAACATGACAAAACTTATGCAGATTGGCTACTTTTATGGAAATGTGGGTTCAAACTGTGTCAGATATTTCGGCTCGAATCTAGAGATTTTCACGACTTAAACAAACTTTTAAAAAATTATTTGTTTCCGGTAACTGATGGACAGGAAGCAAAAGTTGAATTAACGTCTGGGACTTACTCAAGCGGTCAATAACTGCAGGAAATTCGAGCTGCCCGTGGAAAGTACTGAAATCCAAATAACGCACATCACATTTTAATTAAATTATAGTAAACTTTCACCGAAACAATTTTTTTGTGACGTTTGTAACTTTAAAAGTGGCGTTTCTATGACAGACTCCTGTAAATAGAACAGAGCCATGGTTGCCACCTACTCCAAAATACGCGTATTTATAACTAGTTCTAATTACAAGCGTCTAGGTATACGGCACTTCTTGTCAATTCTATCGATTGCGGCGATTCGAACCTAGCGGTTTGTTATGATTTAAGACGATTTAAGGTTAGGTGATTTTTTACCGGTATTTTGTTGTAACCATAAGCGTTGTTCTATGGTTGTAACCCTAAACTCTTTGGATTTTATTAATATAGTGTTGGACTTTAACTGTGTTAACTTAATTAATATTGATAAAACTATTGGACTTATAAAGTTTGATTTAGAAGAACTTAACGATGTGTTTTTAAACGTTACTCTATATATTATGTACACCAAATGGGGCGTTTTAATAATAAAAATGGCTTAAGTTATTTTCCCATGTGCAATGTGCAAATTTAATTAAAACAAATTATCAACAAATTTTTAAATTTTAAAGTAACAGAAAAAATAAAATTACTATTGTAAGAGTCAAGAAATATTAAGCAAAATAATTGCTGGTATCTTCTGTTTCCATTTACTTTTTATTTAACATGTCACACTAAGCAACACATGAAAATAATTTCATTTTTACACTATTCCAACAAAAGTGGAATACCAACAACGTAGTTCGACTTTTTAGTAGGTAGTACTATGTGAATTAATTTCATTATATCAGCTGTATAAAATACTAGGATTTGTAATCAGAAATTTTAAATCTTTTAACAATAATACTACATTTTTTTATTATATTTTTAGTATTTAATGTCATAAGCACTCTTACTTGTTCTTGCCACTTGGGTGATGTTTATTAAGTTATTAAGTTTTACCGATAAATAAATCTATGGAATGTATTTACTAATTTGAAAACTATCCATATAAATGTATGGATGTATGTAAGGATATTCAATATAATGTCAAATATACAATAAACCAAACTGTTTAGGAGATTTATTTAATGGTTTAAGCTGCTTACTTAAATACTACGAATGCAAAATCTAATACCTATTTAAGTTGATCAGAATAAATCATTTGTAAATTGTTATAAATTAAGAAATACTCATAATGATCACTGCCTTTCTTTGTGCTAATTTAAAGGCAATGCTATTATTTTTGTTCCAACAAATTCAAACAATCAATGTTAAAAAATAAAAAATTACTAGCCAAGAGCGTATAAAATTTACCTATGAATTTCTGTACGATACTATTTGTTTGCCATTTTTATCTAGAACTTATATAAGGTTCGAAATGCACGAGAATGAAAAAAAAAATGATTGGCGGACTCCCGGTTGTTTATCTCGACAAATTATAAAATAATTATCATCAAACAATAAACAAAACCACCTAACCTTAAATCGTCTTAACTCATTTGTAGAACTTGTCAACGATACGTTCGATAACAACAAACCGGAAGACTTATTTGATTGGTTCGAATCAATCGATAATCGCAATCGATAGAACTGACAGGACCTGCCGTATACCTAGACGGTTGTGTTCTAATTACTATACGAGTTAAGAGCAAACTGCTATAGATTGAGAGTTTCTTGAACTTAAAACCAAATCGTCAGTTAAAATTAATTCCGTCGTTTCACTTTTAAACGAAATAATTGAGCTTTTGATGAAAAGGCAAATTTATTAAACGTTATTTATTGTTTAACTACAAAACCATTAGGTAACAGCAAAAATTAAAAAAAACGCTCCTTAGCTAACGGCAGAGGCTTGCCATGTGCTGTAGAAATTCTCCTCATAATCAGGCCTCAGAACTTTGGGCATTCTATGATCAAACTCGGCTAGGCCTGGATTTTCATCGCATAGCATCTTGTAGGCATAGCAAATGCGCACGAAGTCTTCATTGCTCAGCTCAAAAGACTTTGCGGTAGGGTTGATTTCGGCCAAAACCAACAGTTTCTGAGTGAGTTCGTCGTTGACGCACTTTGGAAACAATCGCCCGATGCCTTTCCGGCAGTACTTCTGCCGCATGTGAAAGACAGTTCTGAGCACTTTCTCCACCATGTGAAATGGCATGTCGATCAAGGGCACCCGCAATGGGGTGAGAGTTACGACGGCGACGTCAACATCAGGTTTGGGGACGAAAGCGGTACCAGGTATGGTGAATTTGTACTCGACATTGCACCAAAACTGGCACATTACCGATAACCTGCAGCGCTGCTTGTGGCCCATTGGGGCCACGATTCGCTCGCCGACTTCTTTCTGAAAGGTCAGTGTCATCGGGGTTCTGCCATAACTCCAGGCTGAGGATTTTTCAGAGATTGCCTGCAACCAGCGGATGATCAAGTGCGTGGAGACATGGAATGGAAGGTTGCCGATCAGATGTAATGGGGGCGTGGCATAGTCCCAGTCCCTTTTCACAATCCCTTCCAGTCCCTTTTCCAAATTAAAGTTCATGATGTCCCCGATTTCGATGTGCATGTTCGAAATATCCTTGCAGGTTTCCTTCAACAGTTCCAGCGAGGGTAAAAATCGGGGATCCTTTTCTACGACAAGCAAATGCTGGGGCTGTTTTTTTAAGATGGAACGGGTGATGCTTCCAGGCCCCGGCCCCACCTCGCACACATGATGGCCTCTGATGTTTCCAGCCGCCCTTACTAGCCGATCAGTTATGCGCTCGTCCATTAGAAAGTTTTGCGACAGTTGCTTAATAGCCGTGAGTCTATATAACTTAACTAAGTCCCTTACAGTGGGCAAGGGGGGCAATCTTACTACGCTACGGGGCAACATCTTAAAGCTTGTTGGGTTTCTCGATGATCTTGGCCGGTTCCTCGAAGTCGTCCAGGAACGTTTCCTGCTTCACTGCGTAGATGGTGTAGCCGTAAATGCCCACAACAGCCGAGCAAAGAACCCCTAAAGTGATCAGGTTGTTTCTACGCACCCTCTGCAACCGGGCGACTCGGATTTGATTATCTCGGCTGACACGCTCGATGAATTCACGATCTCTGGCGCTCAATTTGTTCAGATCCACTTTGGGCATTCGATCAGACATGGTATTTCAACCTGGGGTCCGTTTGCACTTTTTCTCTATATTTTTACTGTACTTATACTTGAGCCATATAACCTACAAGTGTCACACAGTAGGGATGGCACATAGAGAAAGTGTCGACGAAATACT